GTGTGTCCATATATAACATAAGAGCATTTCTTGTTGAGGTAGGCCAATTTCCTCTAAAAATTGCACAATTATGGAGTTTTGATCAATTCCGACGAAATTAGAATTAAAAGCACAAAAAATTTTTTCGCGCGCTTCGCGCGCATTTGTTTGGGTTGAAACTTGTGCTTGCCCTCCTTTGCCTTCTCAGTTATTTAAAAACATAATAGTCCCAAAACTTGAGAAAGAAAATTTAAGATAGATCGTTTTACCTAAAAGAAGGGCCTCAATGTGTAATGATGGTGAAAGAATAGGCCTATGGATTGTAATAAATAAAACCACGATGAAAATGCTTATATTTAGTTCCAAACACACGCGTGTGCCCTATATTAATATTAAAATAAGCCATGCCGTATTGTTTTCAATATGGGGGGGGGGGTATCACGTATTGTTTTCTAGAGGGGGGGGGGGGTATCACACCAAGTCATAAATTACTAACCGGGAAAATTATTACCTTCGCCCCCCCCGACCCAAGACCCCTGTTACGCGCCTGCTTATAAGTGGGGCCCCCCCACTTTGAAAAACGTTCCGCCGGCCCTGCAATGATCAGCTGGGTGGATGACCACTCTCCAAAATGGAACAGTCGAATGCATGCTTAGCCTGGCGTAGCATACAGTCGCTGTGCGCCTGGTCGTCGATGTGACCTAGATCACCGTATGCTAGATTTTGTTGCAGTGTACCGTCTTGTTTGGAAGTGTGTGTGTGATTATAAGCATAAGCAATCGGACGATCATAATAAAAACACAGCTCATTATCAAATTGGAAACTATATGCTATTGCAAGACAACCCAGTAAGGTATACTGTAATTTACTCTCTTGATTTTCGTAAGAAAATCGAAAGACAGGTTTATTTTGAGGTAGCTTTGCAGTGAAAAATGAGCGGCTTGCTACCCTTCACACCGCCGATCGTGAAGCGACTGTTGGGATGGAAAAAAGATGACTCGGGAGCCGAAGACAAGTGGTCCGAAAAGGCTGTGAAATCCCTTGTAAAGAAGTTAAAGAAAAGCGGATGTTTGGAAGAACTTGAAAAAGCCATATCTAATCAAGACGTCAACACAAACTGTGTTACGATTCCAAGGTGAGCTATAGAAATGTAGGCCTTTCGGCAATCACAATACAGTTGTTAGGCCTAGATTTGTCACTTTGTGCCATATTGATTGGGAATTGTGAAGCAAGGCTAGGCCTAGTGGTGTAGGCAGGCCTAAGCCTAGGCCCTCCTCCTGTATGCCTCGGCCTAGTCCTAGCCTAAAAACTAGGCTAGGCCTAGGCTTACTGTAGTCTAGCTAAGAGAATCCAGTCAGGCCTAGGATATTGTTTGTAGGCTAAAAAGAGCGGTCTAAATTCTTAACTGATTCTTGTATTCTTGTAATTGCAAAGATTGTTTATATACCTTATTAAGTATAATAGGCCTAATTAATGACACTTTAAAAGTTAAACAACACATGAATTTATTGTTCTTCAATGGAACCTGGAGTAAAAGCTTCAAGGCAAGACCAACCCCCCCCCCCACGTCTAAAATACATTGTGCACAGTTGCCTAAATGTCGACTTAGCCTTAGGAGATTCAATGGGTTTTAGATCCAATATTGATTAGTGATCTGGGACCAAATGCTAATTACCTATGATTTACCTGCAATTGAGTAAGAATGTTTTGTTTTAGACACTGACAACATGTAATAGCACATCGGGATGCATTCGTGCAATCCATTTGGAGTTATAGATTGAAATGAGATGAAGCCTTGTGCGTACTGTATGTGTTATTACTTTCCGATGGTCAGGAAAACACTATCTGCGGTGAACTTAATAGCATCAAAACATCCCAGATTAGTCCAACCCATGACCAAAATGGAAATGGACTTAAATCGTATATGATGATACTGTATGATGATGGAGCTATTTCTGTGCAAGATGACTCGACGCTAGAATGAATTCACTCATGCGTGACTGTCTTAAGTTCTCTGCACAACAAAGATTTAGTCAAATTGCATCCTAAAATCCACGCGACAAAGAGAACTTAACGTTTTTGCGTGTGCAGATGAATTCTTAGTAATGTCATCACGTTCTACATCCAACCACATTGTGAAATTCAAAGCTCCCTGTGGTCCCAGATGAAAAACAAATGGCTACTATCAGTAAATGTCTAGTTACCAATATCTCTGGATTTCAAGACTATCAACCAAAAAAAAACAAAAAAAAAAACAAAACACTGCAATTACAAGATAATGCCAGATCAGTGTAGTTAACCAACTGAGTATTCAGTACTATAACCTATTAGGTAGGGTAAACCAGTGTTCTTCCTAGCATCATGGGCAAGCGTCATGGTAATTGTTAAGTCCACCATAGTTGGGACTGACACAAGGTATTTTTAATAATTAGGAGGCATTGAAATGTCATAAATTGCAATTTAAGACTATATAAGCAGGGAACAGTTAAATAATTTAACTGTTCCCTGATAAAGGCATCATGGAAGATGTTCCAAGCATCATGGCCAACTGTCAAGCATCATGGGGAAAGTCCCAAGCATCATGGTACCATGATGTTTCAAGGGTCTGGGGAGAACACTGGGGCAAACATCAATTCTTATTATTTCTCCTGACACAAAAATGCCATTGTATTCTCCTATCTTGCTTGTATTTTTTTTCAAGTTATTCTACAGTAAGTCTCTTAATAATAATTTGTCATTATATGATTTGTAAACCAAACAAACTAAAAATCTATTGTATGAAATTTCTCAAGAAAAAAAAAAATTATGAGTTATTCATTCTGTGTTCTCTATAAGTAAAATAATGTTATTAAATTTAAAGACTGTTTCATGTGGCCATAAATAATACAGTAAACTGATAAAATTTGAAATATTGAGAGAAAAATGCATCATATTAAAAAAGATTAATATTTATTTATTATTTATTATTTATTCTGTTTTACTCTAAGATAGTGATAGCAGGCTATAAAGGAAAATAAAGTGCTATTCCCAATGGGATTCACCTACCATATACATATTCAGAACAAATTGAAATTTTTATTTAGCTAGGCTTTAAACAATGATAATGAAAATAGAGAAAAAGAAAATAATACTAATAATAGTTATATGTTAATATTTTAAATTTCTGTTGTATACTAATTACAATGTTCACTCAATTGCATGTTTAATACTTGACTGCAGATGTTGAAATATTATCAAAGAAGATATTAAACAGAAAAGGAAAAGAATAGTTGATGATGAATTTAAAATTTGATTTATTTTTGCTTAATAATTTGATAGAAAAATGCATAATGGTAAAAAAAGATTAATATTTAATAGTAATATGTTAATATTTTAAATTTCTATTGTATACCAATTACCATGTTTATTCAATAGCATGTTTACTATTTTGACTGCAAATGTTGGAATATTATCACAGAAGTTAACAGAAATGGAAAGGAATAGTTGATGATAATGACCATATTTATTTAGGAAGGAACTAACCTCTCATGCTAGATGTTTACACTTCCTTTGGTAGGTCTCTAGATGGTCGCCTTCAAGTTTCCCACAGGAAGGGCCTGCCACACGTTATCTATTGTCGTCTGTGGCGTTGGCCCGACCTTCAGAGTCATCATGAACTACGATCTATTGAAACGTGCGAGTATGCATTCAACTTGAAGCGGGAGGAGGTATGCGTCAACCCATACCATTACATACGTGCTGAAGCTCCAGGTAAGATGATAGCAATTTTATAATACAATTATGTAGGTTTTATCCGATGTATTTATTGCATAATCATGTATTGTAAATAATAATAATGTTTGTATGGTGACAATACTGTAAATTATGATGCATGGAAATACTGTAGGCCTGTAATAGATGTCATACTATTTTCATTTTTTGTGGTGACATCCTGAAAAAGTGCACAATAATAATAAAATGATGATTTTTCTGTCATTTTTTTTGTTTTTTCCATAAAAGAGGACATATGCCTACACTGTCAACATCCACCCCTTCCCTTCCCCAAATGTATTCATGATTTGTATTCTAGGTAGTGAAATATGATTTAAAAAAAATAATGGATGGTCCCTTACTTAAATGTTTTGTATTAATTGTCTAAATACAGTACATAATGTGCAAACCAATACCAAACCAATACAGTACATGATTATACCAACCAATACTGTACCATCCAAGTGCAGTACAGTACATGATTGTACCAACCAATACCGTCTGAATACAGTAAATGATGCACCCGACCAATACCATCTGAGTATACTGTAGTACAGTACATGATTATACCAACCAGTACCTTCCAACTAAAGTACAGTATGTGATTGTACCAACCAATACCGTCTGAATACAGTACACGATGTACCAACCAATACCATTTGAGTATACTGTAGTACAGTACATGATTATAACAACCAGTACCTTCCAACTAAAGTACAGTACATGATTGTGCCAACCAATACCGTCTGAATACAGTAAATGATGCACCCAACCAATACCATTTGAGTATACTGTAGTACAGTACTGTACATGATTATACCAACCAGTACCATCCAACTAAAGTACAGTACATGATTGTACCAACCAATACCATCTGAATACAGTAAATGATGCACCCAACCAATACCATCTGAGTATACTGTAGTACAGTACATGATTATACCAACCAGTACCATCCAACTAAAGTACAGTACATGATTGTAACAACCAATACCGTCTGAATACAGTACATGATGCACCCAACCAATACCATCTGAGTATACTATAGTACAGTACATGATTATAACAACCAGTACCATCCAACTAAAGTACAGTACATGATTGTACCAACCAATACCGTCTGAATACAGTACATGATGTACCAACCAATACCATCTGAGTATACTGTAGTACAGTACATGATTATACCAACCAGTACCATCCAACTAAAGTACAGTACATGATTGTACCAACCAATACCGTCTGAATACAGTACATGATGCACCCAACCAATACCATCTGAGTATACTGTAGTACAGTACATGATTATACCAACCAGTACCATCCAACTAAAGTACAGTATATGATTGTACCAACCAATACCATCTGAATACAGTACATGATGTACCAACCAATACCATCTAAGTATACTGTAGTAGGCCTACAGTACATGATTATACCAACCAGTACCATCCAACTATTACAGTACATGATTGTCCAACCATCTGAGTATAGTACAGTACATGATTATACCAATTACCAGGGATTATAGAAAATAATCTTATAGCTACCTTACACCGGCAACTCAACGCTTTCGTCACAAAAACAACATTAGTTTTATAATGCCCAGAGCCAGATTGAATTTGTATAAATGTTCATATTTCCAAAGAACTGTGCCTGAGTGGAACTCACTTGACAATTCAATAGTCCAAGCACCTTCATTGCACTCTTTTAAGCAACAAATTGGACAATAATAAAGCCCAACCCCGCACAAGCCTGGCACTATACCCTTAAGGGTCCAGCCAGTATACGTACAGATAGAAGAGTTTCCAAGTATAAGAAGCCTTTATGAAATGAAAAGAAGAGCAAATGACTTATTGTAGTGTAGATGCTTAAACAGTAGAAATTTATCTTCGCAGATACTGTAGATACAATAGACATCATAATGGCTGCCTAAAGTACAGTAAAATAGGAAGCATTCTAGTGTGCAAAGTTGGTAAGATCGAGAACGTACTGATGTAAGTCATTTTCGTACGTGAGAATGTCAAATTTTCATTGTTGTCTGGATTTTAGGACGCAGTTTATCACGTTGCACACAAATTAAAACTATCACAACTGGTTGTCAAGCATTACTTCCAATTGTCAGCATCACAAGGAATGTACCAAGCATCATGGTGCAAAGAAATTTTAAAGTACCTAGAATTGGCTGGTTTAATTAGATTAAAAAGCTAGAGAATATGTGCTGTATTTTAAAAAGGTAGAGTTTAAACTGAGTAAAATTCTGTGTTCTGGGATTTGAACCCAGGACTCCTATTGCCAAGTATGCTCTAGTTGAAATAGTGTGTGTTAGGGTCCTTGTACTACTTACTGTATGGAGAATGTTATGTTATAATTTACTTCCTTGTCCCTCCTCCTTTATGATGGGTACTGAAACTTTAATACTAAAAATATAATTTTGCACAAAATGTTGATGTACAGGTATTGTACATACCCAAGAAGGAGCTTGGTGGGAGAATTTGTTATCTATCGGAAGTTTGTATGAGAACCGTAAGGAAGTTTGTAGGAGAATACAGGAAATATGGCCTTTGTCTTCAGATTCTTGATCTGTTCGATAACCTAAATTTACCTGGATTAGGTTATTGTAGGAAGTGTACATATTGAAGGGCTTTAACTATTTTATGAAATCTAAAAAATAACAGGAAGTTGCATGTATCAAGACACTCTTTAACCTTTGACATTTCTTAAAGCATTTCTTCAACACTATACTTTCACTTCATATTTAATGCTATTATTTATTTAGGACCCCTGGATTTGTACTTGGTCCGCATGTGTTTGTACTATAATACATTTTGTAAGATTTACATTAAAACACACATCATGAAAAGGGAGAAGAAAAATAAAAAAAACTATACATTTAGCTTATAAAACCCCTACAAGATTATTTTAAGAACAATAATTATTTACATGGACAGTTGAAATTTCTTCAACAAACTTGCAAGTACTGTATATTACTTCCTTAATAGAAAAAATATATGAATTAAAAATATCAATGTTGCATGGATACTATATGTTGCGTAAAATAAGGTTTTTAGTGAAAATACCAAGGCTATAAAGGATATCAAGAAAAGGAACCTAAGACACATGGGAGGACCGTTATCTTATAGAACTAACAAGGACACCAAATAAATGTATCAAAGCCATTTAAAAGGGAGTACAGAAATAATATAAAATAAAAGAAATCTATTTTTAGGAGACAGAAGATTACATGGGTACCCAAAACATTTAACAAAACACCTGTTGAATTTAAAATATATTTTATCAATATGGTGTAGCTGGGAATCGGAGGCTGAACTATATATGACATTGACACAAGAATATTCTCAATTTTTATTTTTTAAAATTTCCCTCACATCCAACAGCAAGTATACTTGCCACTTACAGGATGGAATAATGCTTTATAAATGAAGACTCTTTATGAGGCTTAGGGAGTGGAGTTGTTTTTAATCGTGAGAAAAAGTCCTGCTGTGACAGGAATTGAACCCAGGACCCTGGGATCAGAAGGCAAGCATCTTAACCACAGAGCTATTCAACTCAACTTCAATGAGAAGCAATTAAAGTAAAGATAAAGTGTATTCATTCATTGCACCGGGACTATATAATTAAATTAATTTCTCTAGGTTGAAAATGTAAATAAGGTACTTTTTGAGTTTTTTGACTATTTCTGTTTAGTGCCACCTACTAGCATGCACATGCGCTAAAAAAAACTAATTAGACTCAATTGCTCGCTGGTAGCACCGGAAGGAAGTTTTTATAGCTACTGTAATCCTAGGTAAGGTAAAGGTTGAAACCTGATGAAGCTCTGGGCTCACCGACCGGGGTGCCCGTCTCTCTTTCTTTGGTGTTAAAATGGGCCAGGCTGTGGGGGTTTGCCACTCCTCCCACAAAAACTTCCCAGCATATTCCCTTACCCATTTATACTCCTGGGTACTATAGATAGAGACAAATGTAGATAAAGTGTCTTTCCTAGGACACAAGCGACTTCCACAGCGAGGCTTTTGAACCTGCGACCTAAATTGTTTTTTACAGTACTTTGAGCATTTTTGAGTTACAAAACCGTACTGTAGGCCTTAAATTTCAAACATTGCTATGGCTTTTAATAGATTGAATCTTAATATACAGGGTATGCCCAACTTGTGTCATAAAGCGAAGCCACCCCCATACTTTATCTCAATTTCACATACTACTGTATACCATGCTTTCCCGGGCAAAAGTCCAGGGTATGATTTGAATGTGAACAACCTTATTACAGGACATTCTGTCAGTTTGAAAAGAGATCCTCATTTATTTGGTGAAAATAAAATTCCTTCAGGATAAGCCCATCTTCAAAATCAGTCATATTTGATGTTCAATAGGTGGGTTGGGCTTATTAGTAGAGAACTACAGTAAAGCTACATTTACACTAGACACGATAATAACACGACAACAATGACTTGATAAAAATGTGCTCAGTGTTGAAGAATATAAACAACGCGATGATATGTCGTCATCCTGTCGTTATCGTGTCTAGTGTAAATGTAGCTTTATTATGATCATAAGCATGATAAATGAAATCTCATAAAATCAAAGGTTGTAGAACGTTTAATTATTTGCTATCAGAGAGATATTAAACTTTGTACTATGTTTATAATGTCAGTTGTCATACAAAATTTAAATAGAATTGTTTTTAGTTGTTTTTTTAGACAGACATTTCTGTGCTCTGTAACCCTCATGTTCTATTTCAAAATTTTTTGCATTTGTATTACAACTGCTTAATATTATTTAAATATGTATTCATTTTACAGTACCAACAAAATTACATAACGTACCACTACTGTATATAGTAGTTTAACACATACTGTACTGCAGAAACTATCAAAATTTGACCAAAGAATGATAAATTTTATCTTTATTTTGAAGTATGTAAACTCTTAAATGTCACCATGTATATAAATTTACTATTAACACTTTGCTTACGTCAATGCAAGCAATGGTTGTTTAGATAATTATGAAATTTCCTCCTTGGGTGTTAAGTTATTAAGAAAAGTAATTACCGAGTGTTGTTCACTATTAGTGTCTACCATGTATGTCAAATGCTGTGACCGTATACTGATATCGTATACACATACAGTATCTAATTATCCATATACATTTTTAATAAACATCACAAAATATTGATTTCAGGTTGATGTTGTACAGTAAAGGAACATATGGTTACAGTGAATTGCTATGAACTTGGTACAAAATCTAGATCATGGAACATAAAAATAACAAAGCTTACAAAATTATCAAGTGTGGATTGACTGTAAATTGAAACATAGAAAATGCTGTTGAATAAATTCATCTGATTGCAAGTAAAAAAAAATAGGCTCCCAGCGGAAGTGTGTGACTACTGCCTTATACAGGAGTTTTTGTTTAATTTTATCTTATGTTCTTCAATATGCAGATGTGTGTATTATTGTAGTGTATCTGGATTTTTCTTTCATAACAGTATTCTGTATAGGACTACTATATTACACTAAAAATACTTTAAAACTGAGTAACTCTTGGAGTTACCACGTTATGTCGTTGATCACGAAGAGTACTACCTTGTTCTAGAGGGCGTCTTTCAAATGACGGTAGAAGACGTTCGTGGTGAACGTGTGCTGCTTCTCTATAACGCGATTTTGTTCGAGTTTTGAACGCTATTCGATTGTCAATAGAGCACCCCCTACCTCATGGTAGTAGTACCCATCATGCCTAAACCGGATTTACCCTTTTCTGCCATCTTTAATTGCTACATCATGACATAGTGTTTACACCCCCGTTGGGGGCAGTAGACACAAACATCAAAAAACATTGATTCAGGATGTTGTTGTTCAAGGAACATGGTAACAGTGAATTGTGCTGTACATAAACTTGATTCATGAAACATAAAAATAACAAAGCATACAGTAGCAGAATTATTAAGTGTGGATTTACTGTAAATTGGAACATAGAAAATGCTGTTGAATAAATTCATCTGGTTCCAAGTTAAAAAAAAAAATCACAAAACATTGATTCAGAATATTGTTGTTCAAGGAACATGAATACAATGAATTGCTATACATGAACTTGTTGCACAATCTAGATTCATGGAACATACAATAACAAAGATTAGCAAAATTATCAATTGTGGATTTACTGTAAATTGAAACATAGAAAATGCTGTTGAATAAATTTATCTGGTTCTAATGTAAAAAAATTCACAAAATATATAGATTCAGGATGGTGTTGTTCAAGGAACTTGGTTACAGTAATTTTTGCTATACATGAACTTGGTACATAATCTAGATTCATGGAACATAAAAATAAAGCATATAGTAACAAAACTATCAAGTGTGGATTTACTGTGAATTAAAACATAGAAAATGTTACTTTTCAAAGCTTTAAATTCAAGTGCACTATAGAATGATTAGAATTTTATTTTTGTAAAATAACTCGGGTTATACCAGCCTTGTAATCATAATTACCACACACAAAAATTGGGAAAACCCCAAATCAGAATACAATTAAAAAAAGAAAATATAATGATGTAAATATCTTACAGGGAAACAGCGCATCTTTTACTTGGCTACCCTCTGGTCATCATCATCATCATCCCGTTTATCCCCTTATGGGGAGTCGGGTCGTCTCATTATCGTCCTCCATATCAGGTGCAATCCCTGACTGCTTCTAGGTCCATCAATCTTCCATTTTGTCTGATGCAGTCCATCCATCTCTTTCTGGGTCTCCCTCTTGCTCTGCTCTCATTTTCCATTCTTTCTGGTATGGCCCATGTCTCAGCCCCGTACAACAGTCCCACTGGTCTGACCATAGTTTTATATACTTGGCTCTTTACCTTTGCTGGCATTCTCTTATCGTAGATGATTCTATTACATTCCTCAGGGTAAGATGTTTAAATCACAAACCTGTAGAACAAATCTATGATATCTCAATTTATTCGCACCACTTTTCATTAGAATTCTCAATCAAAATATCAAATGAGTTTTAGGGCCTAATTATAATTATATTGTTTTGTTTTGTATTAATCTTGCACTTTGTTTTGCAATGTGATGTACCAACTGATTTTCCGATAGGACACAAATAAAGAATCTTGTATCCTGAATATGGTGTATTGAAATTAGTGCAAATTCTATATAAATAAATTATATAACTGTACATATTAGCTAAATGTTATGTGGTAAGTTTTTGTTACGGTTGAGGGAACAGTATTGAACTGAATACAGCTGCACTCATTTCTGATTCTTTTTTGCTTTTATTGCATTTTATCTTTTCAGTTCTTCCGCCAGTGCTTGTTCCTAGACAATCAGACATCCCCAATGAAATCGCTTTGGATGACCTTTCTAACACAATACCAGACAACGCTAACTATCCTGAAGATGTCAATCAAGAAGGTCTACTACCACCAGGTAAGGTTCAACAACGATACTTTTGATTCTTTAAAAGAATTGATTTACAGTACTGTAAATGTAGTTTGATTTTTATAGTGCTTTATACCGAAGTCTCAAGGCACTTGAGGTGTGGACTAGCTCACACAGTAACTTGCTTCTCCCATGAGGATCTCATCGTGTCTGAGCTTCCATGTAATCCGATACCAACTTGTCTTGTCTGTCCACAACAGGGGCTATATGGACTTCTGTAGTTTAGTATCCTTTTCTAAGCAGACTTGTTCCACCAAGAACCATACAAGCTACAGAACAGTACTGTTTGAACCACCGGCGATATAGCTCTGCGGCGCCCCTGCCTTAACTACTCAGCCATTCGACTCGCCGATGAATCATATTTTTAATTCTGATGATCGTACTTGTATTTTTTTAAAGCCTGGTTCTTGGTAGGCGGTCTATGACCCTTTGCTTCACCCATTTTGACTTAACATCTCTGGAACCATAAAATACTTTCAGGCTTCGCAGGAAGAGCATTCCAAAGATTTACCACCCTCTGAGGATAAACAGGTTTCATACAATTTACTTCCTCAACGGCCCTATTTATCTCCTTTCCTTTTTGTGTTTTAACATGTTGTAAAGTAAAGTCAACTCCTTAGATGAAATCAGAGTAAACAGTACTGTGATAGACCAAGAGAGCCCAGTATGCTCGTTGGGACCATAAACGAACTGTAATGCGCCCTTTACACAGCTATTGGAGGACGCCTGCTGTCTTTTGTATGCTTTTTATTACCCAGTACTGCACTGCGCATGGTTTGTTTATTGTTTTTTTACATGATACAGTACTTTCGTAGAAGGCAGTAGATTTATTTCTTTTTCTTTATCTTCTCACCATTGAAGCTGTAAACTCAAACATAGTGGCCACACTCCATGACAATAGTAGCGACTTCCATCGTAACTAGGGAGTGACGTATTTACAAATGGGACTACACTCTCCTGTTATATCTGTACTCAGATTAAATTACAAAATTAGTGAACAAGAGAATGAAATTCGAGAATGAAAATCATCCTAGAAAGTATAGGAGACTAAATTTAAAACTGAAAGGGAAAGTGGTAGATATCTAATGTAGTTCCATTGAGCAACTAGATACAGGAAACCAGTCACAAGAAATAATTCATAATTTAAAATAAAATATAAATGAAATCTGAAGCGTCCATTGGCATCTTTAAGAAGCGACTCAAAACCTTTCTATTACCTTCTTTATAATGACCTTTTTTCTTATTCTTTGTTTCACCTCGCTAGCTAGTGTTGTTTGGTCCATGTTAGGAGACACCAGATCCCAGAAATATCAAGACTTAACCGATGCAAACTGGAGTACATAAACACTGATCTCTGGTTGGCAGTGGCGGTGTAACCCCATACTTCGGTTTGGGTGCTAGCTTGGTGTTACTGTATTTGTTTTTTTCCTTGTTTATTTATTTAGCATTTTTTTGGTTGTCTTCTTAACTAATGTTGATTGTATTGAGACCTCATATATTAGCGCAATATAAATCCATCTATATTTGGCCGCCCCAAGTTTGCTCGATGTCTTCTGTTTTTTATGTAAATTTGATGTACTTTCCTCTCGGTCTGAGGTGTCAGAATTGTTCGAATCTGTAGTACCCATGATGAAATATTGATGATTACGAAGTGACATGCATAAAGACTTTTTGTCAAGTTTCATCCAAAAAACTTGCGACAAAGGGCGCAATTTCATACAGAAGGGAGCACTTCAAATCATTAATTTTCTAATGCGATAGCTCCCTGTGTTTGTGTTTTGTTTTGGTTTTTCTTTTGCCTCATTGACAATGATTGTTGAGCTGGTGAGTGTGAGAAGAAGCACTAAGGCGTGACTATCTCACCGTAGGCGTGAGACTTGGTAGGTCTGCCAAAAGGACTGAACCTTGCACAGTGTGCTTAGCCAACTTTATGGACAGTTACCTGTAAAAATGTTTCAATTGGAGAATACTGGGAATTGGATTTGTATAGGGACCAACAAGCTTCCTATTTTTACAGATACAGTGTATTATCAAACAAGGATTTGCAATCTTGAACCTGACATGCAGGTAATTCTCAGAAATATAAATTATACTGATGTCAGATTCAAAATTGGAGGATTAACTATCAACAATCTCTAATTAAAGTGGTTTCAAGCCATCCTCCAGAGGAAAAATACTCTTAATATACTGTATGCAGTACAACTAATTAATATAATTAAATACAAAAAGGATGTTTGATGGTTAATGAAATACAGATTTTTGAATATTTAAAAATTGGGAGGGGGGACATGAGGGTGGGAAGAGCATAACCAACCTTTTTTTCCACCATCCCCAATCCCAGTTTTGAAATTTTCAAAAATCTGTATCTCATTAAACTGATCCTGAGTTTTTCAAGAGATAGGTCAACACAACAATTCAAAGAACGCTTGATGAACTTACACAGAAACTCAAAATTTTGAGATTTTAGAGACAGGTCTGGAGGATAAAATGGTGTTTCATGAGGGACATCCCCATGGGTAGGAGATTTGATATGTGGATACTGTATGGGTAGTGAGTAAATGGTAACAATTTAAGGATTTGTCTTTGTCTGACCTGCCTGAAGTTTACTGATGCCCTTTTGGTGCCCTATCACAGTACCTTTATTTCACCATAACAATGTCACTCCAACCTAGGCATTTCCGTTTTAACTCTTCCATTATTAGAAGAGGGTAAATATTTACCTGATTATAAATTTTAAAATAACTTCTTAAATGAATACATTGTTCATTTAATAAATAAAAATACATGTGTCTTGTAATGAATTAATTTTAAAGGTAATTGAAAATCTTAACATTTCAAGTTACTATTATATTTAATAGAAAAATAACCCAACTTTACAAATTATCTATTTGCATTGATGTAACACTTTAGAAAGTGGACTAGTCCAGTTTGGCCTTGACGGTTTGTTGGTAGTAGGTCAGACTGTTAGGTTGTAGGTTGCCAACCTTAGTTATCACACAGAGGAAAATAAAGCACACATGTACAGAATAGAAATTATTATACATTGAAGTTGTTTTTTTTTTCACTGAAGCTACCTTAAACTGGAGTGATAATCAGTGTCTAAGACAGAGGACAACACAGGTATACACAACTTTGTTCTCTTGGTTAAATTTTTCTTATTCTCAGATGGATTTAAACTTTGCGTGGGTAGTGTCTTGTGTATGTTCATTTATTTGCAATGCATACTTTTTTCCTGGAAATCAGACATCCATAATTGATCAGGAAAATGTAAAATATTGTATAATAAATAGGATGTTAATAAACTTAGCCAGTAGCAGAGATTCAATTGTATCATTTTGTACAGGATTCACTGTTATAGTACTAAGCTTGCCATTTGCCTTTCAAACGAAAAGAATATTAAATCGTAAAAATATTTTAACTTCCGCTGTCAAAGACACAGTTTTAATTGTAACTTTAATATTTATCGTTTCACCAATAGACAAAGCCCTATAGATGAATGTTTAGCATATTACTAGGAATAACAGGTTAGGATTTAATCAGTAAACTTGGCATTGCTCCAGAAGCAAATTCTAACTAAAGTGGCGGCGGTGGTTCTAGCTTTTATCAAGAATATCCTACCGTTTAATCAGCCTCCATTTTGGCTTCTGATCATGCAGTATTGACCTCTCTATTGTGCGTAGATACAACCAATTATTGTGCCTAGAATACCGCTGATATGCAAAGGGAATAAAACTGGTGTTTTATGACTTGTTAAGTTACCATAATATTTTAAAATATTGTTTCATTGAGCCACTTCTTTTACACGATCCTTGGATTTCCTGGTCAAGATTGCTTACAAGGTATAAAGCACCCTTCTTGGTGGTTTGGTATAATGTGGCAGGGACATTTTCTATCCAATAAAGTTTACCGAGTGTGGTGGGAAGTTATTGCATAGTGTGGACAAGGAGGTATGCCTCCTAGGTCTGAATATTAAGGCCTGTACCTGTACAGTATGTTAACTTTATGAAATTGATGTTGGATTTCCAACTTACAATATTTCATTGGCAGCATGGTTGTTGTCATAAAATCCAGAAAAGTTATCTATTTATTCAAATGTTTATTATGTGGAATTTAATTTTTGGAAAACTGTAAGAACTTAAATTTTACCTTTGATATACAGTAAATCTGTAATTCATAAAAGCTATGGCTTTATTATTAGCATTGTACAGTAGTTAATTACTGTATTTGCAATGAGGTTTTGACTTCTTCACATACAATCTAGGGAGTTTATTCCAGCTCATGCCCTTGAAGCCAGACACATCTCAGTACTGTCTGTGACCCTTGATCAACCAACTGGCAACAAGCCACTTGAGACCCAATAACTTCACTGCACATGCTCAAAGTTAAAATTACAATTAGTGTCTGTGGAAGACTGTATAAGTACTGTATACTGTACTTCTGGACTCTCATCTCCTAAAATCCTCTCATTCCTTTTTTCTTTCCTCTCAATTAATTCTTTTCCTGTTCTTCCTCATTCTCTTCTTTTTTTTTTTACCCATTCTCTCTTCTTCCTCATCGTTTATAAACCATTTATAAGTAAATGGAAAATAATCCTAGATATTCTTGCTCCTTTTTTCATCTTATTCATTCCATTCCTTTTGTAACGGTGTTTCCTTTTTCATCATTAGCTAGTTTTGTCCTTTCCTTGCTCTTCATGTCTCTTTTACCCCCTTTTCTCCTCATCCTCTCTTTAAATTACCATCAACAATATAGTTAAATGCAAAATAATTCTTCAGTCATGCTTAGATTATCACCCTATCACTTTTGGAAAAATAATGTAGGCAGGTTGGTTTTTATAATATTATATTTTTCACTCAAAAACTTCATCTACGTTGTTACTCTCAATCTAGAAGTAGGACATGGTACTTTTGTTGTTCACAATATACTACGAATAATATCATATTTCGTATGTTTTAAAGTTAAAAGTAAAGAAACCTACCAACTATAAGGTAAACTTGGGGTCATTCACAATTATCAACATTGTCAAGTGTAAAAACTGTACACTAGAGGGTGGGCATACACTTTAATTAAATAGATTTTTACTGTAGCTACATTTTAATTAAATAGATTTTTATATTTAATGGAAATAATGATTGAATTCAGAACCCAGGATGCAATGGCTGTTCTTAAGCATTCAAACAAATATTGTATTTTCAAAAATAAAATTTATAAATCTGGTATTCTGCAAGTAGTATGGCTAATAAAACCATTAATTATTATTATGGGTTATGGTACGTATCGATGTATAATGTACGTCATTCTGTAGGTACTGTATAAACATTTTTGACCTCTCCTTCATGAAAATATTGAAAAATGATAATGATGTTGGCAATAGTGATCATGGTCAATCCCATATAACTAAAATTCAATGTTCGTTACCAAGTAAAATTGTGTTACCATACATATTTTTGAAAAGTTTTGCATCTTTTTTTCCAAAATTTGTCATACAGGTACACCAGTTGATCCATACCTAAACAATAAAATTAACATTAACCAATTTGAAATTATGTTTATTACAAGACCATTGTGTGGTCAGCCATTAATTTCATTCCTTTAGACGACATTAATGTAATTCTCAACAAAATATGATTTAGAATTACATTGTAGCAGCGATTCGTTGATGACGTTGAATTCCAAGATGCTCGGCGTCATTAAGTGTAGTAGTAGTACACATAGTAAGAACATTCTTTGTTCATTTGAAATGTCATAATTAATTCCTTGTAAATGTGACCGCCATTTAATTTTGATGGAGTTGTACTGTACATTGAAAATACTGTACTGAAAAAACAAATTCAGGGATTCTCTTAACAAATTTAGACTACAGCATTCATGGATGGTCTCGACATTACATACAAGAATACTTGTATGTTACTTTGCCTGCTAGAAAGTGATTACATCTTTCTCCGAAAGAGAATATTCAGGGTTGATCTCAACAAGTAAGAATAAGATTACATTACGGTAGTTGGCTAAGTTATTGGTAGCTACGATTGTGTCTTTACTGTACGGTAAATACAGGTTGATTTTATCTCAAATGTGTGTTTAATGTTCATTCTAATCTAAGGATTTTTTTTCCTTTGAAATTAAACCGACTAGAAGTAAGGTGAAACTTTCCACCTTTCACTTCATGTATTCTCAAATGGCGTTTCCATTGTCAAAATGGCGACTATAGTGTAAACAACTCCACCGTTCGCTGTTGTTGAATGTGATCTTCCAGCCCTATACCTCTCTGCATTGTGAGGGAATTACATTGTATGTGTAGTGTGTTTGGCCTTTTGGACTTGCTTGAATTCTTTCCATAGAAATTCAATATTGACCAAATTTATGACATGGTTGTTTAATAGCATATTCAGACTTAGTTAATTTTGTAGTAACTAAGAAGAAAGATCTGAAGCTCCCCAATACTTCTCTACCTCTCTTTTGGAAGGTCATTCTCAGAATCTTCAAGTCTTTCCAATGACTTTATAAATTTATGCAAATTCAGGTGCAGTAGTTGGCCAGAAAATGCCACAACACTCTAGAATTTTGCCTTCTGGATGGACAACTTAGCTTTTGATTTTGTTGCACTGTTTTGGTGACTTTTACATTGGAAATTGTTTCAGAAAAAGAAAATCCTCATACTCTCTAATACGTAACCAGATAAACTGATTTTTAAATTATTGCATTGGCTCCTATCGTTCTGATTCGCCCATGCACACAGCATCTAGAGAGAGACTGCAATATGATGAGGCTGTCTCTTATACACATCTAGATGTGTATAAGAGACAGAAAGAAAGATGAGAAGGCTCCAAAAAAAGCATTCTTTTTGATTAACGTGGGTTTTCCCAAACAACTCCGATTGGTTCCGAAACTAGACTTATTTGGAAATGTTTTTACCATATAAGGAAGCCATGGGCGGGCCTTATCTATTAATGAGAACAATAAATAGAGCTGATGCATTTTTGCTAAGCGACGCTAAAACGTGGTTACGCTTTGAAACGATAGGTGGCGCTGCGCAAAGCAAATGCGGAAGTAAGATCGAAAAATCGCGATATAACGGACAAATCGTCTATCGGCTGTCCTACTGCAATGACTTTATAAATTTATGCAAATTCAGGTGCAGTAGTTGGCCAGAAAATGCCACAACACTCTAGAATTTTGCCTTCTGGATGGACAACTTAGCTTTTGATTTTGTTGCACTGTTTTGGTGACTTTTACATTGGAAATTGTTTCAGAAAAAGAAAATCCTCATACTCTCTAATACGTAACCAGATAAACTGATTTTTAAATTATTGCATTGGCTCCTATCGTTCTGATTCGCCCATGCACACAGCATCTAGAGAGAGACTGCAATATGATGAGGAACTTACAATTATTTTCAACAACAAGCCGCAAGGAACCTCTATTGACAGCATCACATGATCAGTGGGATGTGGGGGATGGATTTGTCGGTGCATGGTGTGCCCGGCTTTAATATCCTTTCACTGTCAGACAATCAATCCTATAATTTTGTTATATTTTCAATTAACATTTGCTATTTCATTTGTCTATATGATATCTTTATTATTATATTGTATATTGTTGTGTATTGTGTACCATCTCGCATTGGGCTAGATTTTGTGTTTTTAACAGAAAAAAGGGAAGTTGGCTTAGTAAATATAGTCTTTGTCGAAAATCAGTAACCAAATTTGGATTACAATAGGCCCCTACAGTACTATAGGACCAGCAGTGCCCTCAAGGTGCGCTGCCAGGATTAGTACTACTGGGAGACAATACCCTACTATTTTCAAATTATTTGAATTGTATTTCATGTGTTAAGTTACAAATTTAATACAAGGATCTAGTATTAGGATTGAAAGAGTTTGTGTATTTACCCATAAGCATGTATTATTTTTATTTCAGAAACCCCGCCACCAGGCTACATGAGTGAAGATGGGGACACTAATACAGAAAGCATGGACACTTCTCAAAGTGGAAGTATGTACAACACAAGGCTAGATTAGATTCCATAAATTTTCTTATCCTGATTTTCATTCAGAACTACAAAAAATAAACTTAAAGTCTCTCAAAATAGGCTGCATTTTATTTTCATTTTTGCCTCATAAATTTATTTATAACTTTAATTCCTTAAAGAATATTTGACGTAAAAAGTAATAAATTGAATGGTTTCAATTACCATCTCATTAAATGTTTCTATGAGCAATTCACTGTTTTTGATATTCAAATTTATTTTTATGAATGACAAATTATTATGCAGCCCTGGTTCTTAACACTCTGCCGCCAAACTCGAAGATCTCCATGTGTGGTAACGCAGCGCTTGACCGCCAAACACGGAGATCTCCTTGTTTCAGGTTTTTTTTTACGGAGTCCGATAATACCAGATAATTACCGACATATACTAACAATTTAAACACTATATTCAGTCTGGACTAAGTATTTCACTATTTGTTTGTTTACATTAGCGTAGAGCGGTATTGATTTACTTTCACGAAAATCGCGATTATCAGAGCTTCGTTATGCGAAAGTGCGTAAATTTCCACAGATTGTGATTAGAATAAGGTGTTTGGTACCACATACTAAAATGTTTGTAGTTCTTTTAATAGTCACTACATGTAAATCTGATCACATACACATTCTCTACAAGCTTCGGAAAAGTGTTAAAATGTGCTGGAAAAAAAAAGTCTGGCAGTGGCTGATACTATTTTTATGAACCCCTGGCAGTCAGAGTGTTAATAGGCAGTCCGCGGGCCAAATTTTTCTAAACAATGTTGTCTGGCCCACGAAACAAATAAATAATGAAGAATATTTAAATCAAAAACCAAAAGTAATAATAAGTTGAATATTTTTTTGCCATGTGCAATACCGTCATTTCTCGAAAAGTAACTTGGAGTATTTAAAAGTGATGATTGCTGGAAACTTTTTTTTATGAATTATTTGAATTTGAAATGGCCAAAAAAAAAAAAATCTTGAAAGGCCTTTGCTCCAACTCAGAGATTATAGGCCCATTGGATCAACTTAACAAATAATCTGGCCCTTCAAATAAGAACCTGGGTTATACAATAAAACAGGTTTAACATGATTTAACTTTTAAGCATAAATGTGAATGAAAAATAATTATATGCTTTATTTCACTAGGTGCTGCTGTGTCACCAAGTCCCAGTGATTTCCAGGGTAAGAACTCATTTGTAAATCAGCTCATAATTACGTAAAAGTTCTTGATTCTAGTAAATGACCTACCATATTCAGTCGAGGATTCAGAATTTTTTGCCTGGGGGTGCACAATACAAAGTCCACACCCACCTCAGTCCCACCATGGTTGTGGCAGAGGTGTGGAAATTTTAAGAATGGGCACCTATAGATGCCCCGAAATGACACTCTCAGACGAGAAAAATGCTTTTTCAAACCAGTGCTCCTTGACAAAATTATAGGCTTTTTCTCTACGGGAGTTATGCTCCCCCTCCACTAAATACCCTTCCCTCATGAGTGTCGCAAAGTTCTAATCGAGGACCCATAGTCTATTCTATGCTGCGAACTTAGAACCGACAGTCCAAGGGGAGGATTTGTGAGAAGTGAACCATAGGGCCTGGATTAACAATGGTTCAAATGTATTATAGATAAGATAGGCTTTATTGGTCTATTCACATATAAAAATACATAAACAGAAATGTTTCTTGAATCTGGCATAAACACGTCAAAACCAACAAACATCAAATTACAAAAGCAAAGAAATTGTAACGCATCTACTCATTACATAATTTAAATACTGTATTATATATAAAAATATTTTAAATATTAAATATTAATTAAAATTATAGTTATTTACGAAAAATTTCATTTACAACAAATTTATACTATTAAAGGATCCACCCCTGATATTAAAGCTTATAATGTGCAAAATATGAATATATTAAAAATTCAAATATTAAATATTATTTAAAATTTTAGTTATTACGAAAAATTCAATTTTAATGTTTGTCACTAATCCTGGTCTTGGCATGGCATGTTCCATATTTTAATTTTTTTTTTGTATTGTATTTCAGATGTTCAACCTGTGTCCTACTCAGAGCCAGTGTTTTGGTGTTCAATCTCATATTATGAGATGAATCAAAGGGTTGGAGAAGCCTTCCATGCTTCGCAGCCATCACTAACCATCGATGGTTTCACGGATCCATCAAACTCGGAACGCTTTTGCCTAGGTCTCCTCTCAAACGTCAACAGAGAGTCTGTTGTGGAGATGACAAGAAGGCATGTTGGTAAGCCAGTTTTTACTAATTTATTAATTGTAGCATTTATATAGCACTCTTTACCAGTCTTGCAGTGCTTTTTGCCCTGGTCATTGGATACAGATTCAATCCCTGGGAAGTATTCCTAGTTATGCGTGCAATCACTACTACTAATTTCATTCCGAATCACTCACCTCCTACCAGGTACCCATTTATACTCCTGTTTGAAGGAAGGCAAATGCAGATAAAGTGCACAGGCGGTGGTGTGACGAGCATCAGTCGCAAACCCCCGACCTTCCGATTGAAAGTCCAACGCATTACACGCTGTTGTTTCTATTTTGATGTGAATCAATATAGCAGACACATCAAAGTATTATTCAATTCTAAAATTAAATAAATACATTTTGGTTTTGTGTCTTATATCTTCTTTAAAATTGATATTTTAAATTTTCGCTGGGGCGTTGGGAGCAGTATGCAATGCCAACGAAAATTTAATGGGCAAATCTGGCATACCAAAAGCTCTGACAAGACATTAATTTATTTTACAATCTTTTGCAGAGGGCGACACTACAATATACTGTACCTTTTTGCTCACAAAACAAAAGTGTTTAAACATACGCAAACACGCATGTTTGTGGGACAATACGTGCGCTAGTTAGACATGTGCGTACTCCTAGTCTTTTACGGATTCATTGACACTCTGGAAAAGTCAGTAGTTTTTTGTTCTTCAAAATGCACAGTCAGCAAATAAAAATAAGAAAGATTTCTCTAGGTGGCCCTGACAGATAAGGCTGAAATATTGAATCGAAATGGTGTTTCTTACTTTATTTGAAGTTTAAGAAAGTATAATGCATACACCTAGTTTTGAAATGCACACCATCGTGTTGGGAATCAATATTTCAAAATTAATTAATTTGAATGTTGAAATATTGAATACTAACATGTTGGTGTGCATTTCAATACTTGGATACTTGCGTTATACTTTCTTATCTGAGATTAATCAGTGGACGTTTCGGTTATTTGGAGTTTGTATACTAAGTTGTGTCAGATTTAGTAGTGCACCTACTAATCTTCTGTGTCTCCTAGCAACAGATTACCAGATTTAGATTGGATGCTATATTTTTAAATATAATAATTTTACAAAAAGTATTTCCTGCTTTTTTTTTTTTTTTTTAGGGAAAGGTGTGCGGTTATATTACATTGGAGGGGAAGTATTTGCAGAGTGTTTAAGTGAAAGCAGTATTTTTGTGCAAAGCCCGAATTGTAATCAACGGTATGGATGGCACCCGGCAACCGTTTGTAAAATCCCTCCAGGTAAGAATCGTACACCGTCAAGTAACGATGGTTTTTAGAAAGTGTTAACACATCACATAAAAGCCAATGTTGCCCTATCTTGAATTCTGTAATAGACCTCCAGGTAGAAGCTGGGGACACAAATGCGCTGTATGTGAGGGATTGGATTATCCCACATGTAAATGTTCCCCAGGTATTCTATATTGCAACATTTTAATTGTCATCACCCAGTGGCATATCTAGGAGATGCATGGTGGATGGGGGGGGGGGGTTGCACACCCTTCCAAATAAAAGCTTGTGGCCCCAGTCACCCTTCCCATTAAAACTATCACACTCAAGTATTTAAAAAATCATTTTGTTTCCGACCTAGCGCCTCTCACTAATTATTTGCTCCCCCTCACTCAATCATCACTCCCCCTCACTCAATCATCACTCCCCCTCACTTAATCATCAAGCACTCTACATTACCCACTTCCCTCACTCCATTTTAAGAGTTCTAGATACACCATTGTCATCATCTGGCCTACAGTATCTTTGACTATGAAATTTGTTTCTTTTTGCACATAGGTTGTAATTTGAAGATTTTCAACAATCAAGAATTCGCCGCCCTTCTCTCTCAATCTGTCCACAGAGGCTTCGAGGCTGTTTATCAGTTAACTCGTATGTGCACAATTCGCATGAGTTTCGTCAAAGGATGGGGTGCGGAGTACCGCCGCCAGACAATCATAAGCACCCCTTGCTGGATTGAGATGCATCTCAACGGACCTTTACAATGGCTAGATCGGGTGCTACAGCAGATGGGACCCCATCCTTTTACTGTCGGTAGTAAATCATAGGAGATTGCCCCCCTCACTCCTTTTGACGGGGAAGATATAAGGTGCATATCAAGAGGTGTATTACTATTAATGTGACTGACACAGTAAACGTAAGAAAATATACAATATCCTAAATGTATGTTAAATTTTATTTTAACAACCTTTTTTAATATTTTATTGAATGCTGGCAGCCTTGATCAATTTGTAAATCCTTCTTATTCCTGATTCTGATTGGCCATTTGCAGTTCAGATAATCTACTGTATTATAAAATAATGGTATATTGTACATTTAATATGACCCTCTTAATATCCTTTAAGGATTGGAGGGAGCTTACAGTATTTGCCGAAATAGGTTGTAGTTCTGTGGTGTGAAGTCCACAAGATTTTCATTGGATTTTTTGTATAACAGCCTACAATTTGTTTTTTCTGCTGACCATGTATAGAAAGACTATTTTCAATCCATTGACTTTTTTCTGTAATAAATTCATTTATTTTTTTATTTGTGCTGCTACTAACCGTGAATTGTAGGACCAATTGGTATTTTTTACATCTCCCTGTTTAAAGAATGAACACTTAGTGGTTTTTGTGAACCTCAGTAGTAATTGAAGTTAGATATGTGTGTCCACCACTCGACAATATAATGTATCATATGAAATTAAATTTGAGCCAGAATTTAATTCATGCTAAATTACAAAACTTCATAATTTTAATCTATATGAAAGGTTCTACAATTGCCTGAATTCAAGAACATTAGAAATAATATTTTATGACATGGCTCCCTTTTTTAGTGTCCTGTTGACTACTACCTAGCGGCCTCAACATGGATGCTTTTGACAACTCCCTGTTGAACATTACCTAATAGCGCCCTCAAAATGTGTGCTTCTAAGCAGCACCTTTATTTGATTGGAATGCCTTTAACATACACGCTTCTTACAGCCAATGTAAAGTAATGTTTGTTGAAGATATTGTCATTTCTTAGTTACTGACTGTGTTTAATGTCATGAAGAAAGGTCATTTTTTGTTTGTATATAGCTTTCCTTCTCTAATTTATGTAAATATTTGCTTGTTTTGAATGTAGTAATCTTTGTATTAAGGAGGCACGAACACTGATGTCCCTGCATGGGTTTGTCTGGATGAATTTGATTGAATTCTAACATTGTCACATTTTTAAGAGGGAAAAACTCCTCAACATACGGTTTTTGCAAATTTAAAATATTTGAAAGATCACCAATTTTTTAAATTTATTTAAGTGGGTGATAAGTTCTCATAATATCAACAGAAAAAATAAATATTAATAACTAAGATGAAGGAAAATTTGTCCTGTGTATTTATAAAGCCCTTTTAAAGTTAAGTGAAAGAAACCCAAAGAATAATGTAAAATTGATAATTACATTAAGATATTGAAGTAATGTTCATACCTATGATGATTGTGTGGTTTTTTTTCTTATGGAATCATGTACTTTAAGAAAATGAAAGATCAATAAGATATGTGACAACGTTAATTAGTGAATCAATTATGTTAAATTTTGATCTTGATACAATTATTTAAAATTGGTGTATACAAATTGATATTTTTGAACAATAGAGGGCTCAGTTTATGTGTGTGCATGTGATAACCATTTTCAAAATGGATTGTTTTTTAGTAAACACGTCTTTTCTGATGGTATGAAACCATGGAGGCTTCTTTTGAAGGCTTATCCAAACTATCAAATTGCATTTGACGAAAACATGTGATATGCCAAATTGTGGTCATGAATGACATCACATCATGACCATATATAGGCACATCATGACTATATATGGGCATACAACAGTTTTTTTTTTCAAAGAAAATTTGATAGTGTAGACAACCCTTAAGACTTACTGCAACTCAATGTAAATACAAGTTATTCAAGTATTTTTTTTAAATATATATAAATATTATATGACAATCTTATATGTAATATATAGCCTAATTGTAACTATTTTATTTGCATGTTACTAAGAAGAATTTATAGATTACAAATGGCATTAGTGGATTGCAGCTGATGGTACAGCATCTTCATCATCATTTTTACAACATAATAAACATTTTTGCATTAAAAATATTGATGTCTAAGTAAAAAATAGGTTTTATTTGTATTTTATCACTTTCACTTTAATATTGTTTTAATATGTTAGATTATAGTATAGTAACACACTTGGTAAATCTTAGCTGTAAACAGGCTACTATTGTACATATTATAGCGGTTGAAACAAATATCACTTTGATAATAAAGATTTTCTTGGTCTACTGATCAAGCTGAGTAACCATGGTGATAAGAAATAGGGCTGCAATGTTATGACACAGCATTTAAAGCATTAGTAAATGCTGGCATGATCGCACTATTTATATATGTAACCTTTATTTAATCTCAAACCACTGTGAGTAGACTACCGTGCGGTGACCTGGCTTGTGTAACCACTTTAATCCTTTAATAAGAACGCTTTTACGCTTTTTTCGGTCATTCTAATTTTAATACTCAGAGGTAGCTCTATTAAAGGTTAGCTCTTGCAGGAAGTTCCAAATTTGGTTGTAATTAATATTAATTTAACAAAGTTTTGTGTTCATATATGGGCATATGGTATCATGTCCATATATGGACAGTCAATTTATAGTGCAGACAATGCACAAGATAGCAATATCAATTTATTATAACTCTATGTTAATTAGATTGATGAAGTCATAAAAACAAAATAAAACATGATCAATCTTTAACTACTGTAATTAATATTGTTTTAACAAAGTTTTATGATAAATACCCAAGATTTGTCCATATATGGGCATATCACATCCTAATGTCCATATATGGCCAGTCACAGAGTGGACAAAGCATAAGATAACAATACCAATTTATTATTATGTTAATTAGATTGAAGCGTTCATAAAAACAAAATAAAACATAATCAATCTTGAATTATTCTAATGTTTATTTGAAATGTTGAGCACAAGGGAATGAAATGGAAGCTGTCTTATTTAAAATCAAATTATGTAAAAAATTAACATTTGTTACTTCATAAATCATAGAGCAAAAAAAAAAATCATTGTTAGCTTAAATGAATCAGCACAATTGTCTTTTGGTAGATTTTGTATAAATACATTTTTAGGATCTCGTAGCAATGTTATATTATATCATATGTTTTTTAAATGAAAGCCGGCAAACGCATTGTTTTATATGGAGAAAGATAGTTTTTAAGGTAACTTTTGTAACACAATGTAGTAGCACTACACTGCTGTGTTGTATTACAAACAATAAGATGAGCAAATAGAGTTTTACATTATTTACTGTTGTTAACCAGAAAAATGTCAATAAATGGCACATAACTGTAAGAAAATAACTACTGTTTTTTTTGTTTTTTTTTTATTATTCTTGTGAACAAAATTCCACTTAAAATAAAACAAAATAGAACATTGAACATCAATCTACACTTTAGGAGGATTTATTATTTGAGGTGTGGTAAACCTTGTTTGTCGCCCTCTATTGTATAATAATGTGCAAGATGTTGCAAGTACTGTAATTAGAATTGTTACTTCGTCTGAAACTGAAAAGAACATTTAAACAAAATGCAATAACTGGAAACTGCGAAGGTGATCTAGTCTGCAAGGAATGAATTAAATATTCATTTACCTGGTAATATGCATTATCAGGTAAATAATTGTAGTCCCATTTATCATGTTATTAGCTGCACTTTTAATATGATATAATAGTTAACATTGAACAGACAGTATTATTGTCATGGATACATTCAGTTGATTAATAATCATAATCACTTATATTAACTTGTTTACCCCAAGCGAAGCCATGGACAGTGTATGAAAGAAACTATATAATCAGCACTCCACTTCTCGGCCTGACCTACCCAGCCCTGAGACCCAACATTTTCCCGAAGTTACAATCTTATGTGTGTGATATAGTTTATCATCATCAGTGGCTGATCCAGGAATTCAAAATAAAGGGGGAACAGGAAAGGACATTTACAGATCGTGGGGGGTTTATGCACCACCTCAGCACCCACATGGTTGAAAAAGTTATGATTATGTTACCTAGATGGCCGGAAATGGCACTCTCAGACTTAAATTTGAATATAATTTTCTTTTTTTCTCCATTTAAAAAAATAATCCTGAAAGGTTTAAGGGGACCCAGGCCAGCTGCC